TCAGGGGGTGAGAGCTGTGTGATTATTTTTTTTCTTCTAGGAGATGCATCCACAAGTCCTTCATTATCAAGAGCAACAGCAAGTAAAGAGTTAGATGAGCAGGCAAGAAAAAACATCCCTGGGAAGAACAGAGGGAAGAGGAAAGCAGATACCTCCTCCTCCCAGGACAGTGAACTGGAGGTAATCTTGTTTTCTACAGGTCACATTGCAGAATAGTGTGGTGGTAAAAGTTCTCCTCTCTTTTTTTCATTCTGTCTCCATGGAAATGGAAGGGGATTATAGAATGATTTGGATTGGAAGGGACCTTTAAAGGGTCATCTAGTCCAACCCTCCTGCTATGATTTCAACTATCCCAGGTTTCTCCAAGCCCTGTCCAACCTGGCCTTGGACAGTTCCAGGGATGGGGCAGCCACAGCTTCCCTGGGCAGCCTGTGCCAGGGCCTCACCACTTTCATTGTAAAAAATGTCTTCCTTACATATAGTCAAAACGTACTTTCTTTGCATTTAAAACCATTCCCCCTTGTCCATCACTACTAAGGCTCTACTAAAAGGTCTTGTCCCCTGGGTTCAAATTGCAAGAGAGTAGGTTTAGATTAGATATTAAGAAAAAATTCTTTATTGTGAGGGTGGGGAGGCCTCAGTATTTGTGTCCATCATCTTTGCAGTTCCCTCTCAAATAGCTGTGGTGTGCTGTTAGATCTCCCTTAGTCTCCTCTTTGCCGAGCTAATCCCTCCCAGCTCCCTCAGCCTCTCCTCTGGGCTGCTGACCATCCTGACAGCCTTTTACTGGCAGCTCTTTTTTCCTCACAGACCCCTGGAGCTGGGCATGCGATCTGGGGTGACCTTCCCAGGGCCAAGTAGGGTGAGACAGCACCTTCTGTTAGCCTGGCACACGTGGCACACTCCAGCATGTAGGTCATCTCATCCATAGGGAGAGAGTGCTGCTGGCTCGTGCTGGTGTCCATTCTGCCCTCCAGCACCTTCAACCTGCACCAGGTTATTCCACTCCACATGTTGGCCCAGTTCTCAAGTTTATCGAAGTCTCTCTGTACTGGCACTCTGCCATTCCTCAGGGCAGCCTGTCACTTCATTTATAACAAAGATTTCTCTGACAAACATCAAGGTCATGTGCCTGGTGCTCTTCAGATCACTTCTACTTCAGCAGGTGTCTAAGGTTCATTAGCACTCTAAGCTTTTGCTTTTGTAACTATAAAAGCAAGAGAAGCTTTTGACATAGTTTGACCAAGAGAGCTTTCGTCTGAGTATGTACTCCTGGAGAAGTGTATAAACTCCACTGCAATAAATTGGGGGATTGAATGTGTTCAGCCTGTAAGATGAGAAGTGGTGCTCATACCTGTTAAAAGCATACTGCAGCTAACCACAAAATTAACCCTAAAACTGGCTCCTTTATTGTAGTCCAGTGCCTGGAATATCTCAGCCCTTTTGTTCTCTCTGCAGAGGGTGTTTCTCTGGGACCTGGATGAGACCATCATCATCTTCCATTCACTTCTCACGGGGTCTTACGCTCAAAAATATGGCAAGGTAATACTGTCTTTTCCATGGGAAAAACCCCAAACATTTCTGTCTTACAGAATTAAATTAGTCTTTGGAAAAGGAACAGAAAATTACATTTAGTTTTAAATATATAAGGTGATACTTTTAATTAACTTGTTGGCATTTTGGGGCGGAGAAAGAATGTTAAATTTGGCTTTACACAGAACATTACCAGCTCTTCCCTTCTGACTATGCAAGTCCTAAAATGTCAAACTGATCCTCACTGGGAATTACTGAGATCTTAGCACATAGGGAAAGGAAGGAGGTTTTTCTTCTTCAAAATATATTGTAGATTTTTTAATGTTTTGTTCGTGCTGACTGTGAAAATGCATCAGTTCCTCCTGTGCAGCACTGAAGTGTTTTGTTACATTTTGAGTCAATGAACCAGACTGACATTTGGTTCAATCCACCAGAATGTGGATTTCTCTTTTTTTTTTCAATTGAGTTGTTTAAAATATTTGGGAAATTGTAGTTCACACTGTTGATTGTAGCTGGAATTAATCAGGTTTGACATACAGTGGAAACTGTGCAGTTTAACTGATGAGGATTTATGACAATTCCCTTCTGCCTGTATCCACAGTGGATTTACTTCTTCTCTTTGTGTTTTGCCAGGATCCAACCCTAGTGATTGGCTCAGGTCTGTCCATGGAGGAGATGATTTTTGAAGTCGCTGATACTCACTTGTTTTTCAATGACTTGGAGGTACATGGCAAAGGCAGAACTCCATGTTACCATGTGTGAATGACACTGCACTCACTGTTTGTGAGGGCTCTTGTACCTCAGAGCCTGTTATTGTTGAAACATGGCAGTCTGACAAAGCTGAAGTGGTTGTAAGCACAACCAAATCAGAGATGCAGTCTTACCTAAGGCACACATTCTGCAGCCTTCTAGTGTCAGGAGCTCTCAGGTTCTGCTGGGTGTCTGCTTGAACCCACACAGATAAAAACAATGGTGTCTGCTCTGTCCTGTACTTGCATTCTGGACTGGTGAGTACTTCGCTTCCACTGATCCTGTTTTGAAATGGAGACCAGAGATGTGAGGACAAGATGACCTTAAGGATGTCAGTCCTCAGGGGCTGTGACTAAGCCAAGGACAGAATACAAGAGGTGACATTGGCTGCGTACCAGCTTTGAAGGACATGCTGCCCTAGACAAGTGTCCTGTACACATGGAGGGTCCACAGCACCCTCTCTTTTTCTTTCCTGCAAGCCCCTGCTGCCCTCCCATTCCCATCCTGCCTAGAAAAGCTGAATATGATCACAGGACAGTTAGTTGTAGGTGAATCACTGAGGCACATCATGGGAAAACAAGATGCTTTTGTTGATGCAAATGGAGACTTAAGTGACATTTCCACTGTGGCTGTGACTACTGGCAGCAGTGAACTTTGACAGGGTGGTCAGGAGTTAACCTCCCTGCCTCAGGGGAAAAAACCAACAAAAACCCAAACGCAAACACTTGTGTCTTGTGCTGGAAAGGGAGTTGTTGGTATGTTAGTTGTGTGCTCAGCCACATGTGCTGCAGTAGGTGTTGGTAGGTTAAATCAGTAGGTTAGTGGGTTAAATCAGCTGCATTAAGCACCAGTCATGGCAGTGCCACTACGCTGCTGTTCCATTCAGAGTTCCTGCTGTGGCTTCATTGACCTGGTGTTGAGAAAATGGAATAGCAATGCTTGGCCAGATAATGCAGTTTTGGGATATTTTTGGTTTGGTTTGGTTTGCTTTTCTGAAGTGACAGAAGGGTTTCAAATGACAAGTGAGCTTTGAGTCCAACCTATTCAGGGAGTGTCAAAGTTCTGTTTTTGCAGACAGGTCAAAATGTCATATAAACTTGCTTTTTTCAGCCCTTTCTGGTACTTCAGATCCCAGTCTGGGCAAGAACCTATAAGGGCTGGGCAGTAAAACCCAGTACTGGCAGATAGAGCTAGTGGGTTTTGTGGAGGTGATGTGAAATGGCTTGTTGCTGTTGGGAAGTGTGAAGGGATTGGTTTATATCACAGTTTTTTTAATCTTCAAATTTTAAGTGTGTTTCTGGATTATCACAGTGTGACTCAATTTCTGTTTTTTTCCTTTAACAGGAGTGTGACCAGGTACACATAGAAGATGTGGCATCTGATGACAATGGCCAAGATCTAAGGTGTTGTACTGACAAATGCAGGAAATGTATTGCTGATGTAATCAGGTGTGGTGGGAACTTGAAACCCAGTTGGAATTAAGGGATGGAGGTCAGCTTTGTGCAGAGGATGAAACCTGGCAAGCGGTGTTTGTTTGCTGGGGGCTGTTTCTCTGAAGCCCTGCAAAGCATTAAGAGTTTTGAAATTAGATTATGAATTATATTGTCCACAGCTGAATGCTGCCTCAGTGTTCAATGACTTGTGAAGAATGGAGGACCTACACTCCAGATCTCATGATGACAAGGTTGGATGGGTCTCTGAGTAACCTGCTCTAGTAAAAGGTGTCCCTGCCCTTGGCAGGGATTTAGAATGAGATGATTTTGAAGTTCTTGTCCAACCTAAACCATTCTGTGAGCCCATGATCATCTGAAAAATGCCTGTCAGGGAGAAAGAAATACAGGGAAAGGGGTGAAGCAGGACTTGCTTCCTGCAGTCATAAGCTGGTGAAGCAGCTCGTCTGCTTGTGGAGCTGCAACTGTGATGGAAAGGCACAGGTGTTGTGTTTACTGTGCTGGAGTTTATCACTGCAGGACGAGAAAGAGGCCAGTGGGAAGGATGCTCCATATCACAGAGCAGTGAGCAGCCAAAGGGCAAAGGAGGGGTTTGTAGTGGAGGATCTGGAGGGAATTGTGTAGCAGTTCAGAGCCAGCAGCAGCTCTAGTTGGGTATCAGTGTGTTCCTGTAGGAGCTGGCCTCTGTTCTCCAGGTGCTGTGGTGCCTGTGCAGTTCCTCTCCCAGGCATTTTCTGTCTGCTGTCAGCACTGCTGTGAACACTGCAGGGGTTCTGCTGCTGTGACACAGCTAACACAGCTGCTTTCCTGCAACAGCAACTACAACTTCTCCACGGATGGGTTCAGTGGCTCAGGCAGCAATGCAAACCACAGCTCCTCGGTTGGAGTGCAGGGAGTGGACTGGATGAGGAAACTGGCCTTCCGCTACCGCAGGGTACGCGAGATCTACAACAAATACAAAACTGACGTTGGAGGTGAGTGGTCACCTGCACCGAGGTCTGAGCACTGAGCAGAGCTTGTGGGGCCAGACTCTGTCCTTCCTCAGAGTTTTGGCTTTTCTGAATGTGTGGACATGAGAAGTAACCCATTCTCCTAGTGCTAACTGGGATCAAATTGCCATGGAATCCAAGAGGGGACACCTCCCAAAACTGAGCAGCATGCTAGTGCAGGCTGAGTTACCATGGAGATAGGGATGGTCAGTCAGTCCTGGAGCCAGCAAAGCTGTGGTGCATACAGTGTCCCTTTGCAAATTTAGGATGAAAGGTTGCCTGGCAATCTGCTCAGGACAGGCCTGAATGTCTCACTTGCCCTTCTTCTCAGGAGGTCTCATTCATGTCTTCACAAAGGCTGCCCTTCGTCGTGTCACTGTCAGGGAACACTGTCAGCCACCCCTGGGCTGTCGGGTCCACGGTCTGACAGGACATCTCTGTCTTTTCACAAAATCACTTAAAACCTTTTAGTTTTGCTTCCTTTCCATCTCCAAAGCAGTCATAATGATGCAAAACACAGTGAGCAAATGGAGATGAGTTTTCTGTTTAGTCTGAATCTTGGCATTGCTGTCACTGGGAAAGGGATGCTGCTGGAGCAGCTCACCTGGCAGGGTGACTCGGCCTGGTACGTTGTGGGTTTGGGTACCCTTTGCCTACACTTTGCCCCTCTTGATAGATCATTTTCTTGGACAAATTTTCTAAAAACCAAGTGTTCAAAACCACAACTTTCAGTCTGTCAGTGTAAGTCTGCAGTTCAGGGTGCTGGAGTCACCTGATTTCTGGCAGGGATCAGACCATGATTCTGTATTCTGCATGTAGGAAACCTGGATGCAGAGTTTTTCAGGACCAGCAGCTGTCAGTGCAGCCGCTGTGGGTGCCTCCATGGCCTCCTTGCAGAGGACTGGAGCGCTCCAGGGCTGGAATGAGGGAGTTCGTCCCTCACAGCTGGGAGGGACGTGCAGGCTCCATGTGCTTCTTTCTTGTTGTGTTTACTGAAAGGAGCAAGTTTGAGTGTATGGGCTCCATTTCTGGCTGCTTTTAATTCAAAACTGGAGGCTTGGAGAGAATTATATAGAAAAGAGATTACAAACAAGGGAATAAAAAAGAAAGGGAGGGCAGTTTTTAAAAAGACGCATAAAAGGGGTTAAAGTGGAAAGGGTCCTTGGGAAGAATGAAGTCAGAGGGGGTGACTGCAGGAGTTCCTTCCCCTGCTCTGTGGCCTTGGACCCCTGCTGCTGTGAATGCTTTGTATGAGAGAAGTGCATTTGACTGCCTGTATCCTGAGAAATCTTTGAAATAATCAGAGAAAAGCATCTGCCCAGTTCCCCAGTCAGACTCCCAGATGGATGTCCGGGCTCATCCATGTCACTGGAAGCTGGTTTCTCTTGGTGCTTCAAGACAGACAGTCCAGCTTCCAGAGGCCTTCAGTTCTGTGTTATTTCTTGCAGAGCAGGCAGCTGGTGCATTGGGGCACAGCTCTCTCCGTGCCAGACTTGCCAGCTCAGCTGGGCAAACACATGTTCCTTACCTTCCAGGCCTGCTTAGCCCGCAGAAGAGGGAAGCTCTGCAGAGACTGAGGACTGATATAGAAGTGCTGACAGATTCCTGGCTAGAAACTGCATTAAAGTCCCTGCTGCTCATCCAGTCCAGGTATGGAACCTGGCAGTGCGTGTTGGCTCTCGCAGCCCTCGGGGTCACAGTGCCCACCACAAACTGCTGCTCAGAGGCAAGGTGTCTGAGAGCAAGAACTCCACCCATCAGCACCATTTAGGATTTCTTTGCTGCAACACCTGTAGTTAGGAAGGTCCCCACACTCACCAAATCACTTTTCTGCCAGAGAATTCTTCCAGAAGCAAACAAGCAAAAATCACAAAACCTTGGCCTAAAAAGCCTCCTGAAAGCAGGACACAGCACGTGGCACCTGGGAAAGCTGAGCAGGCTGCCTGGAGCAGCCCCTGGCATCACTGGCTGCAGATGTGCTGTTACAAGTGTTTTTCTTCTTTTAGAAAAAACTGTGAGAACATCCTGATCACAACAACCCAACTGATGCCAGCTCTTGCCAAAGTTCTCCTGTATGGATTGGGTGAAGTGTTTCCCATCGAAAATATTTATAGTGCTACAAAAATAGGTAAGGGGTTGTGCCACTGCAGTGTCTGCTGGGAGTTTTACGTGGGAAATGCCATTTCATGCTGTGGCCCAGCTGGTCACGGCTTCTGGCCTCAGGAGCTAAACTGGGTGTTATGCCCTCCCAGAAAGACAAGAATGTGTTTCTGGAAGGAAGGGACCTGTTCAGACTGCTATTTCTCTCTGCCTGAGGCTCCTGAGCAGTGGGTTGTGTTGGCAGGTAAAGAGAGCTGCTTCGAGAGGATCGTGTCGCGCTTTGGGAAGAAGGTCACCTACGTGGTGATCGGAGACGGGCGCGACGAGGAGGTGGCAGCCAAGCAGGTGGGTGTGACTGCACAGGTGGCTGTGGGGCAGTTCAAAGGGAGGGCACTGCAGCAGGCTTTTCCTGCAGGGACTCTTGTTCCAAGGCTGAACAGTTCAGGCTGGGGCAGCCAGGGGCAAAGTTTGTCTTTGATGCAGGAGATCTTCCACTGTGGTAAGATGGGCTGTTTTCTGGCTCTTGGGGTTTCAAGTTTCTGTTTTACTGTTGTTTAGGATTGCTGTAACACTGTCACTGTAAGCAGTGTCTTGGTGTAGCACACTGGATGTAGCATGCTCAGAGGTTGGACTCGGTGGTCTTGGATGTCTCTTCCACCCTGGATGATTCAACGATTCTGTGTCCTGATCATAGCCTGGGGCTGTCAGGATAATGCAGTTTCTCAGGAGCGCAGAGGGGTCAGGGCTCAGTGGCAGCAGCAGATCACTGCAGCACCTGCCATTAGTGTGGATTACAAACGAGGAGCAGTTTGATTGATTTGGACAGGCCTGATGAGTTGTTCAGTTGTGCTGATGAACAGCAGTGAAGTGCTGACGACTGTCAGGACCTTGTCTGCAGGCTCCACACGTTTTGCCATGTGCCAGAGCTGCCACCTGTGCAGGTTCCCTGGGAACCCTGGCCAGGCATTCCTGGATGCAGCAGCAGCTCACAGCCAGGGTTTCCATCGTGAGCAGCTGTCAGTGCTGGTGCCTGTCACACACAGATGTGCAGATCAGATGGGCTCCAGACACGGATGTGCAGGTGGCCGATATCCGTCCTGAGCGTGTTGTGCTCAGAACCACCACCCTGCACAGCCCTGCAGCTGTACCCTGGCTGCTTCCACCTCAGCTGAAAGCCCCTGATAAACCTGACTGCCCTCTCTTTGTCGCAGCACAACATGCCCTTCTGGAGGATCACAAATCACGCCGACCTTGTGTCCCTTCACCAAGCCCTGGAGTTAGACTTCCTGTAAGAAGCTGGAGCGGAGGTGACTGCAGCTCCTGTGAACCCTCTCCATCTCTGGAGAGGCAGAAATCTCACACATCTGGGGACTCACTTTTCAGCTTGATGAAGAAAACATACCTGATGCAAAATCTACAGTGGGACATGACAGCAGGTCGTTCCTCAGGAGTCCTGCCAAGTCCAGAGGTGTCCTGTAAAGGAGCCCCAGACTCAGCAGGGCTAGAGCTTGTCTGCCTGAAGGGACTTACAGGGCCAGCTGAATGCTTCTGGCAGGTGTCTCCAGAGGGAGGGGCCATACAACAGCAGCAGTATTTGTAAGAGCCTTCTCCTTTCTATTCAGCTTAGTTGTAGAACCTAAGTAAACATAAAACCTTATTTTTATAGGAAAACACTGATGGCAGAGCTGAACCTTCCTTGTTTTGCAGAGCCGAAGAGCTATGTTTTTTTTTTTTTCATGGGAAATATTAATGAAAATGTCAGAAATACCTCTATTGCTGTAAAATGTGTCCTCTCTCCTTTCCTGGGTGTTCAAAGCAGTTAATTTATTACAATGTCCTTGGTTCCTCAGTGTGGGATTACTGGAAAACAGAAAATAAGGGAATGCTTTTGGGATATGTGGTTCCTTGTAGAGGCAAGTGGTGGTGTTCTGAGTTTATCCTGGTGGCTTCTAGTCAATGTGTGCACAAGTCCTGTCAGTCAGCAGGAGACCATTGAATTCCAGCCTTGGCTTGGACCGTAGATCCCACAGATTCCCCCTGTAAAGGAAAATGAAAGCGCCTGTGAACATCAGGTATGGCAGACTGGTGCAGACTGTTCAGATGTGAACAGAGTCCTCACCTGGGCTAGGAATAATCTAATTCCTAAATCCTCATGAATGTTTCAGAGAAGGCTCTGGCTACGGTTGTTAACCTTCATCTCTGTGTTCCTGACTCCGTGTGTGAGAGAAAGTTCCTTTTAGTAGAATCAGATTCAGTTTTCTTATATTCTTCTTTGCATTAGCTTAACTACATAGTGAGAAACAAATGCCTTGTTAAGAGGGACTTAATTTTCTAAGACACTGTGACTTGGCAGCCTGGAGCACACTGGCCTTGGGAGGAATGGCGATGATGATTTTTCTGCCACTGTCTCAGAAAAGAGGCTGGAGTGGGTGACCTGCAGCTCCCCAGGCAAGGAACAGCCAGCTGGGGACTGGGGCTGGCATAGGGGCTGGTTTTGTGCCAGGTCAGGCTGTGTTTGGTGGCATCTGCCTCCCCCTGCACCCTGGGGGCACCAGATCAGCAGCTGCCTGGGGTTCCTGCCCTGAGGAGGGGTGTGTGCTGCACCCCAGCCAGACCCCTCCAGATTGCTGGTCCCCAGCCCCAGGTCTGTCCCTGCAGGGGGACACTGACCCACTCGCTGTGCCCACACAAGCAGGGATGTGTTTGCTGCATTCCTTCCATGGCATTAATTACTGAGGGATGTTTCCATCAGTGCTGGCTCCTCTCGGCACAGGCTCTGCTGTGCCCTGGGAATCTCCAGTGACCGCTGGGAAGGTGCCCAGAGCCAGGGCTTTGGGTCCCCAGTGCTGAGGGACTGCACCCAGGTCTGTTCCGTGTTGTCCTAGCTCCAGTTTCCTTTGTTTTTTTTTTAAATTAAATTGGAATCAAAGGAGATTCTTTTTCCGAAGTGGTCACAGGAGCTGGGAGTGATCAGCTTTCCATCCAGCTCCTTGCCAGGTGTTGGCCTTTTGCTCTGATCCCAGATGGATACTGGGTGTGCACATTTCCCCAGGAGCTCTGCAGCAGAACACACCGTTGTGTGGGAGCAGCAGGACACTCATCCCATGAGGAAAATCTGAGGAGCAGGTGTGGGTGTCCCTGGGCAGCTCAGCTGAGGGGAAGGGTTTGGCCCTGGGGCTGTGCTGGGGGTGCTCAGCAGGTTTGGAGAGGGGAGCAGGAGGCCCCAGGTCTGTTCTCTGTCTGTACCAGATGGAGCTCAGGTGTGTTCCCACCTGTTCCAGGCAGCTGGGGCAGCTCCAGCTCCATGACTGCAGAGTCCCCAGATCCAGTTCCTCGGGGGTCCCTGTGCAGTGTTGCTGTTGCAGCCAGAGCTGTGCTGAGGAGCAGCCCCTTTGCTCCCAGGGTCGGAAATGCCTCCAGAGGAGCAGGACTTACCTGGAGTCACAGCAGAGTCTGTGCTGGATCCTGAACATCCCTCAGAGAGTCCCAGCCCACCCAAAGGTCTCCTGTAAGCAGACTTGGGAGCTGTCCCAAGCTGTGCAGCAGCCTGTTGGGAGCACGTTTTGTACTCTGGCTGGCTGAACTTTGGGATTAAAACCTGTGCCTTAACCTCCCACCACCGGCACGGCCGAGCAGCCCCTTTGCTTCGCTCCTGGGGGAAGCAGCTGGAGAGGGCTGTGCTGGGGAGGGGCTGGGTTTGCCCAGGCATTCACAGAGGGTGCTGGGCCTGTGGGCCTGACCCACCTGGCAGCTGGCTGTGCTTTTTTTGTTTACTTCCAAATGTTTTAAGGAAATTTTAAGATGTCAGTAAACTTTTAGCTGAGCGTGGAACTTGCAGCCACTGACATTTCATACTGATATTTATACAGTGTTTCCTTGAATGTATGTAAAGTACTTTTATAACAGGAGGTTGATGGTACATTTCTGTGTTTGTTAATAAAGGGTGACCTGGCTATTTTATTTTTTCCTCTACTGGCTGAATTTAAGCCTTTTCCTGTCTCTCATGAGGCAGGAACAGCACCTCTGTCCAAGTATTGATTTTTCTCCTGTCTCAGTCACCAGTTCAGCTACAGCCAGGTCAGGTCTAATGGGAGAGCAAACCTGAACACCTGAAGGACAGTCAGTCTGTGGGTCCAGGGCACCTGAGCTCACCTTGGTGCTGCCAGCCCCCCCTGCAGCTTCACCACAGCCACGGAGGCTTTAAAAACCACCTGCTCCACTAATATTTGCTGCCCCCGAGAGCCCCAGGGGAGGAGTCTGTGCTGGCACTGGTGGGCAGGGCCCCTAGAGCCCAGAGCAGCCCTTGCTGCACTACAAGGGGTGAGTCCTGGGCACTGCTGGCTGTGGGGTCTCTGCCTGTTCATGGTCTGTAATGGGAACTGTCCTTTGAACTGGAAAAAAAATAATAAAGTCTTTATTTTCTATAGTGACTGCTTCAGCCTGTTCTCTGCCCCCCGTGTCAGTCCCTGCCCCTGTGACAGCCTGAGCCACGTTCATGGTGCTGCAGGTCCCAGTGCAGCCTCTGGAGCCCCTGGGGAGCCAGTGGGGCAGGGACTGGCTCCTGGGCTCTGCTGAGGTGCCCAGGGCGGGCACACAGTGCTCCCTCAACAAACCTTCCCTTCCTGGTTTCTTTTGCCCAAGGCCATCGAACACCCTCCTCCCACCCTGTGCTGTGGTGCTGCTGGCCTTGGCCACGGGCTGGTCTTCTGTAGGAGCAGCTGGGAAACAGATTTCAGCTGCTCCTCCAGCTGCATCCTACTGCCTTCCCTGGGGTGGGGCTCCCCTCCTGGGATGGGTCCTGCTGGGGGGTAAAGGTGATGGCAGTAAGGGGAAGGGGCCAAGAGTCAATGCTTTGGGCAACCAGGATGTGCCACAGCTGCCAACTGGGCAACAGCAAAGGAGGCAGAGGCTGCTCTGGGGCCTGCTTGGGTTTTGACACCGATCTGGGAACCGCCCTGCCTGGGACTGGGTGGGTGTCTGTGCCCAGGTGCCAGCACAGCCCCACACTGACCACATGCACAGCTGAGAAACCGCCTGTGGCCAACTGCAGGAGGAGCACTGCCCGGGGGGGTGGGAATGGAGCCAAGGGAGCACGAGGTGTCCATAATAAGCCAGAAGCACCAAACCACCCTGCAGCCACTCTGTCAGCACAGGCCTCCTTCCCATCCCTCCCCAAACACGGCGATAACAGCTGAGCTTTGACCTCAACACAAAAACTAACACACCAGGGAAGAAAACTCTGGAAACAAAGGTCAGATAGCCACAACCATTGGAGGAAATGAGCTCCCACATCCCTGTGCAGCAATGGCAGCAGCAGGCACAGGAGAGGCACAGAGAGAACAAACCAGTGCTCTTGGGGTTTTTTCTTTTGAACAAGGTAATAATAAATAACAAGGAAAGCTGACACAGCACTGCACACATGCTGGACCTGCCACATGGCACAGTGTGCTGGACCTGCCACAAACACCGTGGCTTTCCTTGAGGGTGCAGCCATGGGAGCCATGCTCTGTGCCGTGGAACTCCTTGGGCATTTCCACATCATCCCTAGTTCCTGCCAGCTCTCTCCAGCTGCCCAAAACAACAGCCTGGGGGAACAGAACCAGGACCACAGCTAACAAATATACCTCCCCTGCACGTCCCTTTGGAGGAGCTGCCCTCCCTCAGGCAGCAGACTCGAGGGCAGCAGCCCCATTCAGGAAGCGCTGCCGTCCCAGCTGGGAGAGCGGGAACTGGCTCTGGGCCAGGCACTGCATCCGCCTGTTCACGAGGTCTGGCTCAGAGAACGAGCGGAACTCCGGCCCGTCAGTCCCTCCATTGGCATCCACCTCATCAGAGCCACCCTCCTGCTGCACCTGCATGTTGGGGTGCAGCCACTTGTAGTAGGTGACCCTCAGCCCCAGCCCCAGCAGGTAGCAGGGCAGGGCAGCAGAGACCACTGGGATGAGGTACCAGTGCTCCTCAGAGGGGGCCCGGCCCCAGAGCCAGGAGAGGACCAGCAGTGTGCTGTCCACCAGGATGAAGCCGTGGTAGATGATGCTGCGGTGCAGCGTCCTCCCCTGGGCCACGTTGAACCAGCTGAAGTAGAGGATCACGGCCACCATGGCCCGGTAAAGCTGCTCAGGGCCAGGTGACTCCATGAAGTCCGTGCCCTGCAGGCTGACCCAGAGGAACATGGCCAGCCACACGAGTGGGAAGTGGACAGCCACGCCGTAGGGCCAGAGCAGGGCGAAGAGGGCGACTGCCAGGATTCGGGGACAGATGAGGAAGAGGTTCCACAGGAAGTAGATGAAGGAGGAACGCCGGCTCAGCTCGTAC